GTTGGGCAAATGTGTGTTCAATTAATCAAACCCAACATTCATCCAACATAAAAATTCTGCATATTAATTATGCTGTGATGATGGCTTAATTAGAAATTGAGCAATATATGACACTTTCAATTGTTAATTCTTGTAGATGCCATTTGTAGTCAATATGAAGAGCACATTTATATGTGAGTTGAGTTTGTTTGTTGTGTTGCTCTCTCTATTGCTACCAGGGTTTTCTCCGGGTTCTCAGGTTTCCTCCCTCCGTAAAAATCAATATGTAAGTTGGATGTCGTAAACAGTGAACGTAGTTCTAGTGCGTGTGGAGAGAACTTCACGGCAGTGCCCCTCTGGGGAGAGATTGCTGTAAAACATATATATATGTTATCCTTTTTACCAAGCCAAAACCTTATTTTTATGATATTCAAAYAGATATAAAGTAAAAACTGCCTTAATTTACCGTTCTTGCTCGCCAAAATGAAGTCGTTGTCTTCCTTCTTCAGCTTCCTTTACTAGTYGTTTTCTAGCCTCATCCAGGGATTTTTCCTTCTCTGTTAGCTTGTTAACCATGGCTTGTCTTTCCTTCCATATGATGTCTTTCTGTTGACTTATCAGTACCTTGTTGTCTACTGATACAGCACGAAGCTCCTCACTGGCCTTTTTATGTTCARCAACAATCTTCTCATGAGCTGCCTGAATGGTATAGCAATAGAAAGTATGGATCATGAGATTAGCTGTGTGGATTCTCACTGTGCCTGGGTGAGTAGATGGGTGGGTGGGTGGGTGGATGGGTGGATGCATGTATGAATGGTTGGGTGGTTAAATGGATGGATGCATGGATGCATGGATGCATGGATGCATGGAGGGAGGGAGGGATGCATGGATAAATGGATGCATGGTTTAGTGGAAAGGTTGGATGGATATCATCATCATCATCATCATCATTGTCATCATAATTTAATTCTAGAGCATTCCATAATCTCAATGCCCTTACGATAAATTATACACATCAAATATACAAAATGAATGAAAATTAAGAGGCTGTCTCTGTAAGAACCTCATAACCATTTTGGGTGAAAAAACATATTTCTTTCAAACCTTGTGTGTGAGTGTGCCCTTCCAAGGTTNCCTCTTTTCCATTCACCCTCTTTTCCATTCATCCTCTTTTCCATTCACCCTCTTTTCCATTCTCCCTCTTTTCCATTCTCCCTCTTTTCCATTCTCCCTCTTTTCCATTCACCCTCTTTTCCATTCATCCTCTTTTTCATTCTCCCTCTTTTCCATTCTCCCTCTTTTCCATTTTCCCTCTTTTCCATTCATCCTCTTTTCCATTCACCCTCTTTTCCATTCACCCTCTTTTCCATTCACTCTCTTTTCCATTCACTTTCTTTTCCATTCTCCCTCTTTTCCATTTACCCTCTTTTCCATTTACCCTCTTTTCCATTCACCCTCTTTTCCATTCACCCTCTTTTCCATTCACCCTCTTTTCCATTCACCCTCTTTTCCATTCATCCTCTTTTCCACTTATCCTCTTTTCCATTCACTCTCTTTTCCATTCACTCTCTTTTCCATTCACCCTCTTTTCCATTCACTCTCTTTTCCATTCACCCTCTTTTCCATTCAGGTTCTTTTCTATTCACCCTCTTTTCTCCCGCGCCCTCGGTTCTTTCTCTTATTGAAGCTTTGTACAGTAGTATTCAATATCAATACCGTATAATACCTCATCAAGTATTTGCGTTTTTTCCTTCATAGCGTCTTCTTTTTCTCTTGTAACTAAACCTATCTTGTCTTTTAATTGTTCTATCTTGAGCTCCTGAAGAGCAAAATCAGGAAGATAGAAAGTTAGCCTGCATTGCGGCCCTCAATAATAGTGGGATCCTCCGAATCCCAACCTCATGATTATTGCCGCTACGGAAGCAAATGGAAAGTAAAACAGTCATAAGAACTTTGAAAAACATGTCTCACATTCGTAAATCCCGTCCCCATACAATTTTGATTGAAACAATTCTCATCGAATACGAGGTTCTAAACCTTTGAAAAATATTTCACGCATTAAAAATAATTTTACATATGCGCGCACGCATTTTGGCATTACAGTTGCCGCCAAAACCATAGGGAGCTCCATCAGACCAAGCCAAGGAGATCCCATTTGGTCTTTTTTTTTTTTTTTCGTTTTGTTTAATAGGAGCGCGCATGGTATGCGCTGTTAATGCGCAGGCTGTCACTAATTCAACCTTGGGGTCGATTTCCGGGATCGAGTAGAGATGTTTGTTGTTTCTCATTTTTAGTGATCAAAACAGCCAACGGAAAGAGCGCGCGCTGGTTGACGTTGACGTTTTGTGAGGAAGTAAATTAACATATACAGTCAGCTCTGGTTACAGCAGACACCATCGCGTCCGCAATAGCGAAATTTATATACGGTCATTTCTTTGTCAGTATTTTTGTCGGAAAGTTTTCTCCTGTCCGTAATAGCAAGGCGTCCGTTCTGCCACTGAACGCGACACTATACAGAGGTTAACAGATATTTTTACTATTCATGAATTGCATACCGATTCCCTCCTTGATAAATGAGTTTTGTTTCTTTCATCTTGTAGTTGTTCGTTTAACTTGTTGATCTCATGCTTTAGGTTCATCCTAACACAAAAACAAAAAAGGAATGATTGACTTGGTTTATTGTAGACCTTCAAATAAAACTTCAACTTTTGGGTTTCCCGCCTAGTACAAGAAAGTACAATACACCAGTAGACCATTTTCTCAAGGTTGCGTGCGCATCCAACTTGACGGGCCACAAAACTGAATAACGGAAGTTCAGTAAAATTGAGAAGCCAGTTTCATACTTAAAAAGAAAAAATCGACTTTATGAATTCTTATCGAAAAACTGAAGTTCATAGCAATGCATGATAATACTCTTGTTCTGGTATCGTGGCCCGTCAAGTTTCTTAAATTTGGATGCGCACGCAACCTTGAGAAAACGATCTGTCTCGCATTCGATGCATACCGCTGTTTTTGAAGACCGCAAACTTAGCGTCGTTTATGAGTCAACTATTCACAGATACCTTTAAAAGTCTGTGTGATTTCAAGACATTGTTATTGTTCAGCTTTTGCATTCTTTACATTACAGGTGACTTTAGCAAATGATTTGTTCTTAGAGAGGCTAAAACTGTACAAATAAGAACACACCGAACGCATAATTTATTACTACTGTACAAATAAGACTTTAGTCATAAACACAGCGGTATTTACTTCATGAGAAAAGGGACTATGGACCAAATCCATTCGGGTGTAATGTTTTACCCATTTCAGGGCACGTGTCTCTCTCTTCAGAATAAGGTTCTTTGTTTGAGTTGTATCCATATTGTTGTGTCTTCTCGTGTGTAACCGTTAAACAAAGAAGTAATAATCTAGGGAATGACGCGTGGTCTGAAATAGGAAAACACTGGATATTGTCTATTTCATCTCAGACTTCAATCCCTACGTCGTTTTCCATTCGTTTCAGTTCCCACAGGACTCCCATAAGATGAAGTAGCCTGCGAAGTAAGTTATATTCAATCACACAACAAGGGAACTTTTTCTGTGGGCGGCCATTTTGGAA